GTATGTATGGCGAATGTGCGTGGGCGTAGGCGCCCTGTGTGGGAGGCCACTGCCAGCTGCCGCAGGGGGGGGGAGGGGAGGCCCCGCGCGCGGTCTGGCTGGTCTGAAGTGCCTCGTGGTGATCGTTTTTTGTACTCCCTGTGTTGCCGATCGGCGCGGGCCCTCGCCCCCCCCCTCCCCCTGGGCCATCCTGGGACGCCTCTTGTGCGTCTCTGGGGCCGTCGTGGAGGCCTCCTGGGCCTGGTCGGGGCCGTTTTCGGCGGTCTGGAGCTCTCTTGGAGCGCTCTTGGGCCGTTTTGGGGGTGTCTGGGGCCGTCCTGGGCGCCTCTGGGGCCGCGTGAGCGCCTCTGGGGCGTCCCCGGAGCCGTTGTGGGGCATTTGAAGTCCATCAAGACAGGGACCCTGCCCGCACGCACGGGCCCCCCCCCCCCCATGGAGTGGATCTTGGCTGTTTTTGGGCGCCTGTTTCAGGCAGGTGGAGTCCCTCTCCCGTTGGACGCACTGCTGCAAACAGTTGCACTGAGCAGAGTTCCGGAGCCAGACCCCCCCCCCTGCCCCCCTTCCCGCCCAATGTCGAAACGCCGAATCAGAAATCGCTCACACGTAGGGGGCGGGGGGCGGTCTTCGTGCGTGCAAATTTTGCCTCCTCGGATGGCCGCCCCCCCCCCCCTCTCTTCGCGCCAGGACCCCCTTTCCCCCCCTTCCCTTCCCGCCCCTGTGCTGCGCGCCGCCCATCCTCGTACATATAGGCGTACGTCGGGCCTGTCCCTCTGCAGGAGGAAGGTTCAAAAATAGTTCTTAAAAAAGTGGTCTGGGGACGATGTGTCTCGACTATGTTTGGACTATGCTTGAGCATGTTTGGAGTACTCCTTCTGTTTCGCGTCCAAAGTCCGCCTGTAGGAGGACATGCCCAACCACATGCGCGTGTGCTTTTCGACCGCCGGGCTGGTAGAGCCGGTCGGAGCCGTAGGCGGCCACATGCGAACCCCACCCTCCCCCTCAGAAATCGTGGGGGGTAGGGTTATGATGCTCCAACCTACCTTAGCCTTGATCACCAGAAAGAATTTCGAGCGCCCGAAAAAGTACAGAAACTCAAGGGTTTTCACCTATCGGGCCCTGGGAGACACTCGCCCGGCACTGTTTTGACACTGTTTCGACACTCTTTTGACACTTAAGTCGGATGGGAACAACATAAGGGTAGGGGCAGGGGTAGGGTTTGCACGTGGCCCCCCAAGCCTGCCCTTCGATCTGCAGCTACAGTCTGCCAGCCGTGGCGCCCTGTCTGTGCCCGTGCCGGCCCTCCGCGCCCCTGCCTGCGGACGTCCGCAGCGAGGCCGCGCCCCGCGCCGCGCAGAGACGCCCCTCATTCCTCCTCCTCCTCCTCCTTCTCCTCCTCTTCCTCCTCCTCCTCCTCCTCCTCCTCCTCCCTCCTCCTCCTCCTCCTCCCCTTCTCCTCTCCTCCTCCTCCTACTCCTCCCCTCCTCCTCCCCTCATCCTCCTCCTCCTCCCCTCCTCCTCCTCCTCCTCCTCCCTCCTCCTCCCTCCTCCCTCCCTCCCTCCTCCCTCCTCCCTCCTCCCTCCTCCTCCTCCCTCCTCCTCCTCCTCCTCCCCCTCCTCCCCCTCCTCCTCCTCCTCCTCCTTCTCCTCCTCATCCTCCTCATCCCCTCCTCCTACCCCCTCCGCCCTCCCGCCGGCCCCGCATGAGTGGCACAGGAGCCTCGCTCCACGTGCCCCCCTCGTGCTCGTGACCCCCGCTGTCCCTCCCCACCCCATCCCTCGTGCTCCTGCTTCACCGCTGTCCGCCTCCCACCCTCTCCCTCCCATTCCCTCCCTCCTCGTCCTCCTCCCCCTCCACTCCTCGCTCGCCCGGAGGAGGGAGGGGCTGCCGACGTCGTGATGCTCTCGCGGCGGGGGCTCCCAGAGGTCTGGGCCTCGCCCGGACGTGTGCATTTTTCCTTCGGCGAGGACCATCGAGGAGCATCCTTGATCATCTGGCGAAAAAAACACGCACGAAGCCGGAACAAAAACACAGGGAATGGACGTCCGAGCGATGGCCCCTTCCCCACCCCCAAAAAAACTTGCCCAGGGCCGGCGTGGCGTTTCGGCCCGAGTCGTTTTCTGGCGCACGGTGCTGCTCTCACGGTGAGCGCCGCACGCGTTCGTCTCGAGGGCTCGCCGCGGCTCCGAGGATGGAGGGCGCGCCCTCTTGAGAGCGTGGCTCTCGCCGGGGCGCCGCGCACGTTCGTCTTGAAAGCTTGCAGCCGCTTCCGGGACGGAGAGCGGGTCCGTTTCATTCAAAGTGTGGCTCACGCCTCAGCGCCGCGCACTCTCTCCTTTGGTGTCCCGAAAAATGCAACCGCTTCACGGACGGAGGGCGGGTGGTTTTCAAAACGTGGCTCCCTCCTTAGCGCCGCGCATATTCGTTTTGAGAGGGTGCAGCCGTTTCGAGGATGGAGGGCGTTTCCTTCTAAAGATGTGGTTCTCGCACTAGCGCCGCGCACATTCGTTTTCAAGGCTCGCAGCCGCTTCAAAGCCGGAGGGAGGTCCTTTTCAATATGTGGCCTCCGCCAAAGCGCCGCACATGTTCGTTTAGCAAGCTTGCAACCGTTCCAAAGGATTCGCACCGTTGAGGTCTGCCCCAGCACGATCCAGGAATGTCAGGACGTAACAGCCACGATGATTCACGGTCCCGAAGCCCCAGGAATGGTGTTCCGTGACAGTTTAGGATTTTCAGGAAGCAACAGCCACGTTGATTCGTGGCGCTGATGTCGTAGGAATTGAATTTTTGCGCGATTGAGGATTGTTAGAGGGTTGTCTTCCAATGGGACACTTCCCGCTATGATAATAACTTCTTGCAGGTATTTGTGAAGAGGGAATTTGAAGGCAGGATGTATTGCAACATCGTTGATGCGTCTTGGGTTTGCATTGGTCCTCCTCCTCCTCCTCGCTCTGCCCTCCTCCCTCCTCCCTCCTCCTTCTTCGCTCCTCCCCTCTCCATCCTCCCTCCTCTCCCCCCTCCCTCCGCCCTCCCCAACTCAGCCCTCCTCTTGCTCCTCCCCGCCCCCCCCCCCTTCTCCCTCCCTCCCTCCCTCCCCTGCGCAGCCGTGTGTCCGGCCGGCCGGCGCGCCCTGCAAATGGGAGCTGGCGAACTCCCCCCCATCCCAAGAACGGCACACCGCCAGACAGTGCGCACTTCCAGTGTGGAGGGGGTGCGCCAAGCGGAGCCTACAGATTGGGCACGCACGGGAACGCCAGGAGGAGCGCCACGAAAGGGTTGAGCAGCGGGACCCTGCCGCCAGCGTCCTCAGCCGTCCGGCTTGGCAGCGTCCGCTCGGCAAACCGCCCGGCAGCAGGAGGCGTACTCCATCCCTTCCTCCCTCCTTCCTCCTTCTCGGTCGGTCGCTCGGTCGGGTCTGAAGGCCAGTTCGATTCGAAGCTTGTTTTAGGTGGGGGACAAGGGAAAAGGCGTGCAGGAAAGGGTTGGGAGTCGAGGCCGACACGCGCACCAACGTCCAACAAGTGAGAGAAGCGGCGACGGTCACAGTGCAAGAAGCGGGCCCATGTTCTTCCAGAACTCAATGCAACCTTCAAGTTCGGAGCCCACATCCCCGCATTCTCCGCACAGAGCCCTTACCTCGGTAAGATACTCGTAGAATTCGTTCTCTCATCGCACACTGGGGATTCCCAACAACACCAGCAGCAGGCATGTGCAACTGATTCCCCGAGCACCTCCCCCATCCCTTCTCCCGAACACTGAGGGACAGGGTCTCCACCTTGGAGCGCGGGATGGAGTAAGGTTCCCATCTTGTGTGTTCTCTGAGCGATCAGCAATCAAGGTCGGTCAAGTCTGGACCTGAATCCCTTAAACCTCAGAGACGGTCATGTCCCCTCCTCCTTTCATGGCATGCCCCCTAAGCGCTAGTTTGGACGCAGGGCCCACCAGGGAAAGGACAAGAAAGGTAGCTGCATTGAGCTGAAGTCCGAAAGCAGAAACATCTGAGCAACATCATCTCAGTCTGCCCTGGTTCCCACGCAAGTCCTGACGCCTTCGACCCCTCCTCACCCCCTCAGCGACAGGCGTCATGTTGAAATCGTTCGTGGCGAAAATGGTTCCTGGGCGCGTGCCCAGCGAGGGTTTCGCATATGAAGTGGCGTTCCTAACTTTTCAAAAAGCTCCCGCCTTGTTCTCACGCACTAGCTCAAATAGATGGTAGTCTTCCACTTCTTTCTCGAGGACGGGTGTTCCCTGGTGCGCAACAGAAGCAGAGCAAAAAGCCTGAGGTACCGGTAAGGTCGCTGGAGCTTCTATCAGATCCTCCTCCTCCTCCTCCTCCTCCTCCTCACCCTCCTCCTGCTCCTCACCCTCCTCCTCCTCCTCCTCCTCCTCCTCCTCCTCCTCCTCCTCCTCCTCCTCCTCCTCCTCCTCCTCCTCCTCCTCCTCCCCTGGCAATCCTATAACTCACTGCTTCGCCACAGGAAAATGCAGCAGTCAGGTCCACAAAACATCTCACCGAGGAAAGCTTGCAGACCTTCTTGGCACGGAAACGGCTCCTGACGGAGTGGCTCGACATATAAGTGTCTTGCCTGTGCAGCCCTCCGCCTCCGCCTCCTGCTTTTGCTGTGCAGCCCTCCTCCTCCTCCTCCTCCTCCTCCTCCTCCTCCTCCTCCTCCTCCTCCTCCTCCTCCCTCCTCTCCCGATCCTCTCCTCCTACTCCTCCTCCTCCTCCTCCCTCCTCCCTCCTCCTTCTCCTCCATCCTCGTCCTCCTCCGCCTACCTCCCCTCCTCCTCCTCCTCCTCCTCCTCCTCCTCCTCCTCCTCCCCCTCCTCCTCCTCCTCCTCCTCCTCCTCCTCCTCCTCCCCTCCTCCTCCTCCCTCCTCCTCCTCCTCCTCCCCTCCTCCTCCGCCTCCTACTCCTCCTCCTCCTCCTCCTCCTTCTCCTCCTCCTCCTCCTCCTCCTCCACCGCATCCGACGCCCGCCTGGCCGCTCGCTGCCCCGGAG